AGAAACCCAAAAGTCCTAAGATCCAACCAGAAGAACGCCACGTATAGGTTATACAGTTACCGATTCCGCTTCCATGAACTAACATGTGTCATCGCTTTGGTTCTGGTTTGGGCAGCTAGGTGTCGGAGCAGACTAGCGGTTTCAGCCTGCAGACTGCTGGATGCGGCAAGTTGCGAATGCAATCGCTGGACAGGTTTTCGCTGAAGAGTATGGCATCCAGAATATCGAGCCAGGATCCTTTGCTGAAAGATTTCGTCCCCAGGCCGGACACCAGGTAGCCATGCCGAAGGACCCAGCCAATCAACAACACCACCGCCCACTTCAGGGTTGTAAAAACAAGGTTGGCTTGGCAGCTTTGGCCAAAGACAGTCATTCGCGGCCGACCCATCGTGATGGTCTCCGTGATGCAGCACGGTGTGCTTCCGACGAGCACATTCGAAACACAGCGCCCGAGTATAGCTCTCGTTGGCATAGAACGGCAATTCACATACCGTATCCAATTTCAGGTCGCAGGCCTCGTACCTCCATTCATTTCTAATCCTTGGGAGAGAAGTGTGCACTGACAGAAACCTGGTGACTACAAGTAGAATTTTAATCCGGAAAGCTGTCGAAAGGAACAGGCAGCACGAAGCTAGCTCCTCAATTTCTACATGGCTCACCCAATTCCGGAACAAAGCGACTGCGTCTATTAGCCGATTGTTGGAGCATATTACATCACCTTCTACAGATGTACATGCACATATGTGCAGACAACAGGCTGCAATATGCGCGCTGCAACTGGCAGGCTCGAAACTGTGCCGCACTTCATCTAAAGACGTGCCGGGGATCAAGCACTCGGTGAAAGCCGAGCCATGCTCGCGTGTGACGTAAACCGGCACCGCGTCAATCTTCAAGTTCACCTTCACAATCTCGGTCAGAGTGGCGCAATAACTGCAGCAGTAGAAACAGCAACAAGAACAAGGACAACTAGTCGAACAACAACCAACTCCATCCTGAGAGCGAGGCGACAGCCACAAGGACTGCACCCTTCTGCTGCTGCACTGACGACAAGCCGACTAGCGGTGACTAGCGGATTCACGGCCTGGCTCAACCTTCGACTCCCAAGCACTTCCGAACTGGTTCGTCAGAGAGTGGCTGTTCTAGGCTCACTCTCTTTTGTGTCGCCCTGTTAGAAGCAGTGATACGGAGGCCTCGGCCAGGCTAGTATTGTAAGGTCGATTTGTGGTATTGCTTGGGGTATG